CAGCACAAACACAATTCCAAAATTGTGGAAGTCAGCGTATGTCCTGCCTTTACTAAAAGGAGGGGAGGCCACTTTATTAAATAATTATAGGCCCATCTCTAAATTATCAGTTCTGGCTAAGGTTCTTGAACGCCTAGTGAGTGAGCAGGTAAAGGTGTTTTTATGTACAAATGACATCCTGTCTAAACATCAGTCAGGCTTCAGAAAGCAACATAGCACCATCACTGCCACAATGAAAGTGGTGAATGACATTACGAGTATTTTAGATAATAAGCAGAGTTGTGCAGCTCTATTTATTGACCTTTCCAAAGCGTTTGATACCGTCGATCATCGCATCTTAAAGCAGAGGCTACTCAGTATTGGCATATCCAGCCATGCAGTGGGGTGGTTTGTGAACTACCTCTCTGAAAGGTCCCAATGTGTTCACTTTGATGGGCTGTCTTCTGAGTGGTTAAACATTATTAATGGTGTTCCTCAAGGTTCTGTTTTAGGTCCACTTTTATTCTCCATCTACATCAATAGTTTAGGTGAAAATGTCGATGGAGCAACCTTACATTTTTATGCGGACGATACCGTTATGTACTGTGCAGGTCCCTCCATTAAGGAGGCTATTGTTGAATTGCAAGCTGTTTTTAACATTATTCAGACTCAGCTCTCTGAACTAAAGCTTCTTTTAAATGTTGATAAAACCAAGGTAATGCTCTTTTCAAAAGCTAAAAAGACACCAGAGCCTGTTTTAGATATTGTAACTACGCAAGGAATAAAACTTGAAGTGGTTACCTGTTACAAATACCTTGGTATCTGGCTTGATGACTGTCTCACTTTTAAACGTCATGTCAATAACCTGCTTAAAAATCTGAGGGTTAGGCTAGGTTTCTTCTACAGGAACAAGTCCTGTTTCTCGCTTGAGGCCAGGAAAAGGCTAGTCTCTGTGACCTTTTTACCTGTGCTGGACTATGGTGATTTGATTTATATGAATGCACCTGCCAATTGCCTGGTCAAGTTAGATGCTGCGTATCACAGTGCACTGAGATTTGTGACAAACTGTAAAGCATTAACCCATCACTGTATCCTGTATGCAAGGGCTGGTTTGCCTTCGCTAACTGTACGGAGGCTCAGTCACTGGTACATTTTTATATACAAAGCCATGTTAGGGAAACTTCCATCCTACATCTGCTCCCTGATCTCACGGCGAATTGTAAGTGGCTACTGCCTGAGATCGCATGCTGTGGTTTTATTAAATGTGCCAACTGCTAGGACTGTCTTAGGGAAGATAGCATTTAGATGTGCAGCTCCACTGTCCTGGAACAGTCTGCAATTTAAATGGAAACTGAGCAATCTTGTGCCACTAAATGTTTTTAAAGCTCGGTTGGATGCTACTCAATCGGAAGCTGTTGGTACCTGTTCATGTGGATAGTTATGTCAATTGTAATCCCTGTAATGATGCTGTATGATGTCCTTTTTGTTGTTCTGTTTATGTTTTTAATGTTTCATGTGGAACCTACTTGAGCAGAGGCCTGTACTACGAAGCTGGTTCAACCTAACCTGGATATGTTTGAGTTAGCCGCTTGGCCCAATCCAAAACATACGCGCTCTGGCTAAACTGTACTACGACGCTGGTTATCAAGTGGATCGCTCAAGCCAGCCGTGTCCTATCTAGTTAGGTGCGCGTTCACATGAAAGGGGTGGTATTTGGAGCATTCGACCAATCTCAAACACGGACAAGCGTACTGACAGCGCAGCGTCATACTTCCTGAATGAAAAGTGAACTTTAATATTAGTCAAATATGAAGAAGTTAAACTTTAAACATCCATGACTTAAACACTTTATCCAGGATAAAAGCCACATAGCTGCACCTGCAAGGTGAATACAGCTGGTAAAAGAAAAAGTGTTTGAATGCGTACATTAACAGGTTTATGAAATCACTGCCCCGTCCAAGACACGAGTGGATCTGACTTTAATTAGGAGAATTTGACTCGAGTGTTTCGTCAACTTAATGTGTTGCTTAAAATAATACTTCTGCATACAGTATGTGACACTGTGAGTGTTGCAAGGCCAGATACGGCTCAAGAAGCTGACTCAAATAAGGAAATATATGATACATTATGATGTGATATGATATGAATGATAATGGGACACATCGCCGTCTGCACTCACAGTGCCGCGGACTGTACTTAATGTTACTCTGATCCGGTTACTTATGTCGTGGCAGATATTTAAGTAAGCTTTTTTAACGCTAATGTTAATAATAGTCAGATTGCTCTGAAGATGGGAGGGGATATTCTATTAATTTTCACGTTCACACAGTCAGTTGATTTTGGCCGGCCGTCTTTCCTGCAACTGCAGTTTTTCTGTATTTCCTCTATCCTGTAATATGAATTGATCGCTTTAAACTCCGCACACGGAGCTCTGATTGGTCAGCAGGCGGTGCTTTCACTGAGTTGATCTCTTAGCCTGCAACCTAACCTGCTCCGGAGCAGGGGGCTATACTACGAATCAAGATTTTCGTTTAGCAAGCTAACTTCAGGGGTTTCCGGTCCTACGAAGCTGGTTCACTTTTTAGCGGGCTAGATAACTTATTCTGAACGGCTATCCTCCGGAGCAGGATAGGTTCCAGGATAAAAGCACTGCCTGCTGACCAATCAGAGCTCAGTGTGCGGAGTTTAAAGCGATCAATTCATATGACAGGAGGAGAAAGGAAATACAGTTTAAACTGCCGTTGCAGGAAAGACAGCCGGCCAAAATCACCGACTGTGTGAACGTGAAAATGAATAGAATATCACCTCCCATCTTCAGAGCAATCTGACTATTATAACATTAGCGTTAAGAAAGCTTACTTAAATATCTGCCACAACATAAGTAACCTACAGTCCGCGGCACTGTGAGTGCAGACGTACCCCATTATCATTCATATCACATGATATCACATCATAATGTATCATATATTTCCTTATCTGAGTCAGCTTCTTGAGCCGTATCTGGCGTGCAACACTCACAGTGTCACATACTGTATGCAGAAGTATTATTTTAAGCAACACATTAAGTTGACGAAACACTCGAGTCAAATGTAATTAAAGTCAGATCCACTCGTGTCTTAGACGGGGCAGTGATATCATAAAACTGTTAATGAACGTATTCAAACACTTTTTCTTTTACCAGCAGTATTCACCTTGCAGCTGCAACTATGTGGCTTTTATCCTGGATAAAGTGTTTAAGTCATGGATGTTTAAAGTTTAACGTCTTCATATTTGTCTAATATTAGTTGACTTTTCATTCAGGAAATATATGACGCGCTGCGCTGTCAGTACACGGCTTGTCCATGTTTGTGATTGGTCGAACACTCCAAATACAACCCCTTTCATGTGAACGCGCACCTAACTAGATAGGACACCGCTGGCTTGAGCGATCGAGTTGATAGCCAGCGTCGTAGGACCGTTTAGCGAGAGTGGTTTCTTTTTGGATTTAGTCAACCGGATAACTCAAAACATATCCAGGATATGTTGAACTAGATTCGTAGTATACCCCCCTGGTTTGCCGCTCAGCATAAGTTACCATGGAAATCTAGCCTGCTAAAAAGAGAACCAGCGTCGTAGGACCGGAAAGCCCGAGATTTCCCTGAAGTTAGCCGGCTAAGCAAAAATCCAGCTTCGTAGTACAGGGGGGTATACTACGAATCTAGTTCAACATATCCTGGATATGTTTTGAGTTATCCGGCTGACTAAATCCAAAAAAAAAAAACGCTCTCGCTAAACTGTCCTACAACGCTGGCTATCACCTCGACCGCAAGCCAGCCGTGTCCTATCTAGTTAGGTGCGCGTTCACATAAAAGGGGTGGTATTTGGAGCATTCGACCAATCACAAACATGGACAAGCCGTGTACTGACAGCGCAGCGCGTCATATATTTCCTGAATGAAAAGTCAACTAATATTAGACAAATATGAAGACGTTAAACTTTAAACATCCATGACTTAAACACTTTATCCAGGATAAAAGCCACATAGTTGCAGCTGCAAGGTGAATATTGCTGGTAAAAGAAAAAGTGTTTGAATACGTTCATTAACAGTTTTATGATATCACTGCTGCCCCGTCCAAGACACGAGTGGATCTGACTTTAATTACATTTGACTCGAGTGTCAACTTAATGTGTTGCTTAAAATAATACTTCTGCATACAGTATGTGACACTGTGAGTGTTGCACGGCCAGATACGGCTCAAGAAGCTGACTCAGATAAGGAAATATATGATACATTATGATGTGATATCATGTGATATGAATGATAATGGGGTACGTCTGCACTCACAGTGCCGCGGACTGTAGGTTACTTATGTTGTGGCAGATATTTAAGTAAGCTTTCTTAACGCTAATGTTATAATAGTCAGATTGCTCTGAAGATGGGAGGTGATATTCTATTCATTTTCACGTTCACACAGTCGGTGATTTTGGCCGGCTGTCTTTCCTGCAACGGCAGTTTAAACTGTATTTCCTTTCTCCTCCTGTCATATGAATTGATCGCTTTAAACTCCGCACACTGAGCTCTGATTGGTCAGCAGGCAGTGCTTTTATCCTGGAACCTATCCTGCTCCGGAGGATAGCCGTTCAGAATAAGTTATCTAGCCCGCTAAAAAGTGAACCAGCTTCGTAGGACCGGAAACCCCTGAAGTTAGCTTGCTAAACGAAAATCTTGATTCGTAGTATAGCCCCCAGGCCTCTGGTCTCCCTTGAAAAAGAGATCAATGATCTCAATGGGATACAACCTGGATAAATAAAGGTTTGAAATTAAATTAAATTAAATATACCATGCTGGAAGCTTACCAGGATTCCAGGTGACCAGCATACATTGTTTAAATACTGGTATGAGTATTTAAACTAGAGAATATAAATATATTACAAAGATTCATTGTGTCATGTATTCTGGTATCTACCAAAATAAAGGCATTGTCAACACATTTATCACTCAAACCCTGCCAGAGGAACATTTGGACGATTTGACTAATAACCTGTGTACGGGACAATGCAGTCATGTCCACATCCATTATGGCAGCACTTCTCATCATTGGGGCAGTCATTGTCATTGGAGCAAAATTCAGCACACAGTCCTGGGCCGTTCCTGCGAGGGCACACTCCTGGCTTGGCTGTAGGAAAATGAGAAAAATAACATATAGATGGATAAACTGTGGAAACTTGGATTACATTAATGGAATTGTCCTTGTAGTGGAATGTTTCACAAAAACAACACATTTGGAGGTTGAACTTTAAAAAACAAACTTACTTGTTAAATTGCCATCAGCACCTGCAGCAAAAAAAAAGTGCACCAAAGCACTGAGTGCTAAAACCAGTGCCCAAACTGACCAGTGCTGCTCCATGTTACCGTCTTTCTCACAAGAATGTTCTCCTGTGTGGACAAATATCTCAGTACACAACCTGCAGGCTGAGCAGCCCAGGAGGATGCTGGGTCCTCGTGCCTGTAGAGTTACATTCATATTTTTGCACTTTAGGGGTCCTGAGCTTGTCAGAGGGGTGGACCTAATAATGAAGAGTGTTTGACTTTATTTAGAAATTACATGATGTTTAGGTAATAGTTTGAACATAATTTGAGTGCTTGCAGCCAACATATTCATCTCTATTTTATTTGGATTTCAATGAAACTACAGCAGAACATTTGATTTCATTTTAGTTTATCATGGAAAAAACGGAGCAATTACTTACCTAAAATGCCATGCTTATTATTGCATGAATAATCTTACAACGATTGGGCATAATTAAATGATTTTGAGCAAATTATAGTAGATGGTGATTACACTGTTATTAATAAATTAGTCATGATCATGTTTCCATTAATGTTATTTTAAGATGAAAACCTTGTGCCGTCATAACTTGGCTGCACTCGACCAGCACTTTGTATTTACTAAATTGTTTTTGTGTGTGTTGCTTTATTTTTTGTAATGTGGCTTCAGTTGTCCTTCTTATGCAAAATGGCACTTAAACTACACTATGAAACAATAAAGATCCTCTGATGTTGTGTGTCTCTCAAAGCATGGAGACTCAGCCTGCCCCTGTGTGGCCATCTATTGGCAAAATCTGGAATTACATGTAAACTGTTCCCAGTTACACTATGCTGCACACCTAAAGCACTGTAAATGGTATTTTCTTTACAATTCACCATGGTTATGAAGGAAAAAACGATTTTATTTGGACGAGATATGGGGACTACTCCCAATTAAGGGTATGTGTTTATTTAAGTGTAGCTTTTGCTGACCATTTTATAGGAAGGGAGATGATCACACATTAATAACAAATATTTGTTGCCAAATTGAAGGGAACAGAGAGTTTAATTTAAAATCTTCTCCCTCGTTACTTTTTAATTCCCTTATGATTTTCCTATCATCTTTATTTTTCCTTTTTTTATTTCCAGTATGACTCCACTTATAGTATTATTTGTATTCCATGAATGAAATCTGATTTCTTTGCTTAAGAGCATGAAAAACATCACAGAGCCCATGAGCCATGATAGAAACAAACAACAAGAGATAGTCTGCAAAATTTGCTGTGCCTCATTTCTAAATGTAATATCACATGAACCATTCATCTCCATATTATCAGAAAGGAGGCAGAACATCCAGTGGTTGATACTGTAAGCTACATTTTAATGGTCTAACTGGTCAAAAGCAAGCTAACTTAAACTATACTATAAACATGTAATCCAGTCTGTTGAGTAGCCTAACTAAGAAGGCTATAGATATAGCTGTTTAATTATTGCATGTGGAAATAGGTGTAATATCTCCCTGTGAAATGTGCTGTACCAGGTGTTGAACTAATTAGGCTTACATTTAGACTAAATATTTAGGCAACTGTTAGTCGTTTTTATGTAGCAGAACAATAGGAAATAATAGTCACATGAAAAAGAGGCAGCAGCAGAAGAAGCTGAAACTCTGGAAATGACTCATGAAGGTCCCTCACTTGGCCTGCTGCACATAGTTAGTGATTATAAGTTATAAATAATTGCACAGAATTGTACTTACTGGGTTATAGTTAATTCCTAACATTGAAAGTATAAATAATAGATCATTCCAATAAATAAAGTTTGCACCTGCCTAAATCACAGATTGTTATGCATCACCCAGCTAACATGCTAACATGCTAAGTGACCTAAATCAAACAGACCTACAGGTGCAATTTGGATCTGGCTAACATGCTAACTGCGTAAATGCTAAACCGTGGACCCTCCTGTAACTTGTGTGTTTACTCAGGGACTTTTACCTTCAGTGAGGGATTGTTAGGCCCTGCCACTGTTAGTGACAGCAGAGCCTCTTTTTAGCTCAATATGTTTGAAAATGTTTCGGATTGCAGGGGGACACAGGCTGAGTGGACTGGATTTAAGAAAAAAGGAGCAGAAAAGTTAGATGGAGCAGATTGAGGAGGACTTCCCTGCTGAAAAAAACAGCTTAGACCAATTTAGGTCAACCAGCCTGACCAGCTAAGGTCAGGCTGACCAGCTAAGGTCAGGCTGACCAGCTAAGTTGACCAGCCTGGCTGGTTTAGAGGGGTTTTGGACACTTTAGCTGGACAGCTAAAAAAAACAGCATAGACCAGCATAGTATGCTGGTATGCTGGGCTGGTCACCAGCATCCATCTATCACCAGTTTATGTTTAATAATAGTATTAAATATACCATGCTGGAAGCTTACCAGGATTCCAGGTGACCAGTTTACATTGTTAAATACTGGTATGATTATTTAAACTAGAGAATATAAATATATTACAAAGATTCATTGTGTCATGTATTCTGGTATCTACCAAAATAAAGACATTGTATAGTGTTCATAACAGTATTTTAATTTAATAAATAGCAATAAATAGCTAGTTAATATAATAAAATACGGAGGACTGGGTGGAGCAGGCATGACTAAAGCCAAGTGCATCAACAGAATCAGGTCATGTATTATCACACACAAACACAGACCCTGAACAGATGGAAAGGGTTACGGAGTCAAACAAAATAAACAACTAAAGAACAGACTAACCCAAAACAAGATAACCCAAAGCAATATGACCTAAAACAATATGATTCACCTTGACAGTGACACAGAAGCAAGTTCTGATAACGTCTCTATCAGCTCAGCCGATGAGGAAGAGGACATTTTAGAATTAGGTACAGTAGAATTAATGCTGGCTCACGTAGAGAAACCATTTGTTACCTTAAAAGTAATGGGAATAGATGTAACCAGATTATGCAAAACCGATTGTTCAGACAGCAGATTGTAAGAATGGATTTATGACGTCAGTACTCACTCAACTGCATGGGGGGAAAAATAGACCAGTGGCATTTTACTCTTCACAGTTAGACACAGCTCGAGCCATGCCCATTTGTTTACAAGCAGTAATAGCAGCCTCCATGGCAGTACAGGCATACGCAACAATAGTGCTTTTTAGATCATTAACTCTAAAACTAACTCACGCAGTGTCCGTACTATTGTTACAAAATAAACAAACCTATATGTCACCAGCTAGACATTTAGCATGCATGGCTACGTTGCTATCACAACCAAATCTTACTATCGAGAGATGTAGGCTACTACCTTAAATCCAGCTACACTGCTACCAGTAGAGATAGATGGGGAACCACATGACTGTATCGCAGAAACTGAGAACAGAGTCTTACCAAGGACAGACCTGACTGACATTCCCTTCCCTGATGCAGACATAACAATGTATGATGACGGTTCATGCAAGATGAATCTTGACGGAACTTATGCTGTAGTGACGCAGACGAAACTACTCAAGGGCGCATCATTGCCGTCTCACTTATCAGCACAGGCAGCAGAACGATAGTTACGTCTGTAACTACGGTTCTATGAGTCCCGGATGACCGCCAGAGGCGGTGCTTTAGCACTGGATATGTCCATCGCGCGCATGCGCCGTACAAGTACCAATAACAACAAAGTCACCTGTGACCCACGTGACACCGGCTATATCAGCCAGTGTCATCAGAGGATCTGTTCCCAGAATCTTCTCGCGAGCACACAAGAATTCTGAGTGACAGGAAACTCTGGCGGTCATCCGGGACTCATAGAACCGTAGTTACAGACGTAACTATCGTTCTATTTCGTCCCTACTGACCGCCAGAGGCGGTGCTTTAGCACTGGATGACTTATACCAACCATGTCATGAAGAAACCAAATACTCACCTAGCTGGAAGCAGCGGAGCTTGGCAACAGGACCACGCCCAAAGGATGGGGAGTGGCGACATTGACCCGGTAGAACCTGGAGAATGTGCCAGAAGACGCCCAAGACGCCGCGGCGCAGATGGTCTCCAGGGGCACTCCTCTCAGGGCGGCCCAAGACGTTGAGACGCTCCTTGTAGAGTGGCATCTCACCCCTGATGGCAGGGGGCGTCCAGTGGCCCCATAGGCATGTGCGATTGTATCAACAACCCAGTGGGACAGCCACTGCTTGGAGAGAGCACAACCCTTCCTAGTGCCACCATGGCAAACGGAGAGCTGCTCTGACTGCCGTATACAGGCCGTAGCATCAACATACGCTCTTAGGGCACGCACAGGGCACAGCAACTCGGGCGTGCGGCTCTCCTGTGGGACGTTAAAGCGTGCCAGCTGGATGGGCCGATTGGAGTGGGCAAGTGGAAGCACCTTGGGCAGGAACGCCACATTTGGCCAGAGGGCAACACCCGAGCCATCGGAGTTCCACCTCAGGCATGTATCGCTCACGGAGAGGGCATGCAACTCCCCAACTCGCTTCCCTGAGGTTATGGCAAGCAGAAATGCTGCCTTCAAGGACAGCCACTTAAGCCCCCCCTGGGCCAGGGGCTCGAAGGGAGGAGATGATAGGGCATCTAGCACTAGGGGCAGGTCCCAAGCCGGAGCCCTCGGGGTAATAGGGGGACGCTGCCGTAAGGCCCCTCTCAGGAAGAGGGACACCGACCTGTGGCGCCCCACCGTGGCGCCGTCGACCCCGACATGTTGGGCAGAGATAGCAGCCATATATACCTTCAAAGTGGAGTGAGAACGTCCACTATCCAGAAGGGACTGCAGGAACTCCAGAATGGTGGCCACAGAGCAATGCCCCGGATTCTCAGCCTTACCCAAACACCAGTGGGAGAAGAGCTTCCATTTGCACTCGTACTGTGCTCGAGTGGATGGTGCTCTGGCATTCAGGATAGTTTCCCTGACCGATGCCGTAAAAATGCTCAACAGTGGGTTGGGCCCCGCAGACGCCAAGCCCAGAGCTGAAGGCGGTGAGGGTCGGGATGCCAGATCTGACCCCTGAGCTGTGACAGAAGGTCCTTCCTGTCGGGGAGGCGCCATGGTGGGCCGCAGCAGAGACTGCGCAGAAGCGGGAACCAAACTCTCCCCGGCCAGCGGGGGGCGAC